ATATATATATTTCTCTCTTTCTAATAATTGAAATATCTCACACATGAAAATTATGAAAAGCATGTTATTCAATGATAATAATGACACTAACAACAATATGATCTGAGAGGTCTATTTTATTTATAACCACTCATTTCAACTAAGAGATAGAAGAAGTCCCAGGTAGGAAAGTACAGTAAATCGACATATTCAGACAAACCCAATGTCTAAAACGAAGGTTCTGCTCCCTTTCTTTTCAGAAACAACACCTGTAGCAGAACCACGTCAAACAGGGGCGAGACGCAATCCTTGCTGCTCAGCTTGCAAGAAACCAATGAAGGGGCACAAAAATGTCTTGGATTGCCCCAAAAACAGCCCTTCAAATTAGTGCATTACCATGTAAATAATTTCAATACAGCTAGTACGAATCTTGGAATCTGCAATTCTTAAAATGTGCATCTATACTGCACACTCTAATATTCGTATACACTATTTAATATTATAATTACCTATGTCAAATATTCTTCTTCCTCTTCTCTGAATGTTATTTTTCTATCTAGATAACCATGTACCAAATGGGTAAACTTTCTACGCTTCTTAGAAATCTGTTGAAAAGTACAAAGAGACCAAAGTTAGAATGTATTTTCATGGGTACCGAAAACATAACAAGACAGATTTTTCGGGTGATGTCAATAAAACTCGGCGACGAATTTTKGCTTACCGTTTCTTGGATGCTTTTTTCTTATTTTCTGCCCCTCTTCTTTTTCCAACAGGCAGTCGCAAAGACCATAGTTCTAAACAGGTCTAAAGCCTAGATGTAATCGCCATCTTGGGTTTGTTTCGTAGTCGGTTTTTAGCAAATATCTACTTTCTTCATTAAAATCAGAATAGTTGCAACTTTCAGAGTATTCACTACTATAATCAGAAAGAATTGACGTGRAATAAAAGGTTTATACAACTACAGTATTCAAGCGATGCAATTTGTTTTCTTATCCTTCTCAAGTGCTTTCAACACACGAGTCCCGTAAATGACGTCACGGCCGACTAGTCCCRGGCCTCCACGTCGCTCGGCATTTTGCTGTTTTTTGGGAACTTTGATCGAAAWAATAATAATAAAATCGCAACACAATCAAATAATTTTTAGTGATTATATGATCTTAAGGGTTAAAACTATCATATTAAACAAAAAACAGCGAACCCTGATATGCACTTTAAAGATCTATAGCATCAGGCCTTGGAAATTCGGCAAGATGAAGCCACATAAACATGGAACACATTTCCTTCGCGAAAGAATTTGTATCTTTTTTCACCAGCGTGTTTCTTGCCTCCATTCTCGAGCCATTTTGAAATAGTTTCCACTGAAACTCTTGGGAACTCTGGCAGGGTCTTTGACCAATCCTCACAGCCTTTAACTATGTACAGGAACAGCAAGAGACATGTTTTTACAACAACAACAAGGTTTGGTCGCTATCTTTCAAAGTGTTTATTTGTGAAGCCTCGCTTCAGTGCCGATGTAAATACCCAATTCAGATCACATGACGTTTTAGCCGATTAGGCCTATCTGTTTCCATGTTGAATTCAATAATCTCATAGATATATAGATATAATCAAAAATTTGGATAAGCTTCAAGTGTTGGAAACCAATGAACCTAATATACTGGTATTATAATGTGTCTAGCCTTTGTTGTTGTTTTTTTTTTTTTGTTGTTGTTGAAATAATATTTTAAGATTATGTGTACAGTAAAGAGACTTCAAGGAAAAACTGGTCTAAGTCTGGGAGAACATTGTGGCCTTTTTGAGAAAACAAGGAAAACGTTCCTAAGAATATGACTGCCATTTTGTTTCAGTCACGCAACAGTTTCACAAAATGAATCGGCATAACACAGGAAGCCCAAATTGATCATGAAGTATTTCATTACTTGTTTTATACCTGTTAATTGCCATAAAAAAATTACATATGAAGTAGAACAGACATTATTAATGGAAAACTGATCGCTGCCCTCAGTCAGTGCAGCATAATTTCCAGCCAAATATTTCCCTGTACGGCCCTCCCACAGGGCCAATAAGTGCTCAATATCAACATTCATATTAGCAAAGCAAAACCATAATATGGTTATGAGGTCCTTTTTGAAAATCATAATTATGAAAAAGTTATCTCCATAAAGATCATTATTATTATTATTATCTAGTCTACAAACACTACACCTACAATAATATTTCAAAAAAGTATCTGCTGAAAAAGGCTTCCTCCAACTACATGACAAATTTGTGAAATTTTATGTGTCAAAAAGAGTCTACAAGATCTGTGATTTTATCCAGTTTAATGTATATCAGCAAATATAAAAAAAATAATCAATGAAAGAAAAAACATGAGGTAATACAACCCATAAAACAATTACACTATTGGTACTCACTGTGTAATGGCCATACAAACACAAAAAATAATGGATTTAGAGTTTATTACTTTCCAAAAAGTAGTAGGCACATGCGCTTTATAAGCGCCTTTTTTTAAATGTAGATCATTATTTAATCCCTTACAAAATGATGTGACACTGCCGTCAAATAATATATTTTTAGACGAAAATCACAACGGAAATATACGAGGTTATTCCGGGCGAAAGCCCTTGGAATTAAATTCGGAAAAATTAATTTCCAACCTCGCTGGGATTCACTGGAATAACCTCGTTCCCAAGCACTACAACTTACCTATATTATCTTCTACTATTTCATTAGTGCCACGCGGTCCACATACTCTCATNTATCTACTTTCTTCATTAAAATCAGAATAGTTGCAACTTTCAGAGTATTCACTACTATAATCAGAAAGAATTGACGTGGAATAAAAGGTTTATACAACTACAGTATTCAAGCGATGCAATTTGTTTTCTTATCCTTCTCAAGTGCTTTCAACACACGAGTCCCGTAAATGACGCCACGGCCGACTAGTCCCAGGCCTCCACGTCGCTCGGCATTTTGCTGTTTTTTGGGAACTTTGATCGAAAAAATAATAATAAAATCGCAACACAATCAAATAATTTTTAGTGATTATATGATCTTAAGGGTTAAAACTATCATATTAAACAAAAAACAGCGAACCCTGATATGCACTTTAAAATTCTCGTTTTCTATATATGGTACTGCATGTGACTACCTTATGTCTCCCAAAAGGGGCCAGCATTTCCAAGTCCCCGCGCACAAATAAGTACCTAAAGCCCTAGTTTCTTTTCAAAGCTATGATGAACATCGTCAAATTGAACGCACACGTCGTTTTGTTTTTGCTTTTCCCTTCTTGTTTTTCGTCGTTTTTTCGTTGTTGTTTCTTTTGCCATTAAAGAGCACGTATTATTATTTTATTCATTCAATTCTACTTATATAATATAAAATGCTACTCTCGAACTGCTACTTTGAAATCCCGTCCAGTTCTCATTGTCAGCTTTAAAATATTATGTACTCATAAATAATGTCAGGACCGAGAAGAAATCATGTCGGCTACGCCTCGTGAGTACATATTCACTCGTAGAATTGTCTCGAAGCGATACACTCGAAGACTCGAGTCTCAGTAAATATTGCACCGACATTCAGTTCGCCTTCTGTGAATAGTTGTTAAAAATACATACCCATTCATTTGATTATTTTTTTATTCTTTTATTTGTCGATATCTTGTTTTTGTCATGTCTCAAAGCTCTTCTTGTGAGACGCGTTGATAAACTGTATTCCGGCGAAATATCTATATTCTGAAAAGTGACAAAAGCAGGAATGATGGGGCCAGTAAGATTGTCAGGTGACTCACGACAAAATTAAACCAATTGGACTGGGATATCTACTTCCTAATGACTTATTCTTGGGGTCCATGTTACGTCATAACCGCCATGTTGGTTGATGATAACAAAGCATTCCTCATTAGTTTCTCTTGTTAGCAACATGGCGGCTGTTTCACTGTTATTTATATCTCAAGGGATTTTGAATAATGTGCTTGCAACCCAAGAATATATAGTTATACACCTATTTCAAATAACGTTGTCGGTCGCAGATCTGAAATCTGAGACCGAAAGGAATTGTGGGTTGTAAGCTGTAAATTGTTTGTGGTTTTAATTAGTAGTTCGCAAACAGTTAATATCTTGGTATACTAACTTTGAGCGATGACCTGCGCTGGCAAACTATCTGGGTAAGTGTATATTGAATTTTTAACGAGAAAACACTCAGTCCCCCACAATTGCAATCAGTCTCAGATTTCTGAATCCAGATATCCAACCGACGTTTTTTGAATATTACAAAAATGCAAGTAATGAATGTCGTTTGTTATGTTTGTTTTAAGGTTTACTGCGATAACTACGAGTACTTACTTCTTTGGGGACTAAATATTCAACGATAAGGAGAAGAATCAAATCAATAACAGCAAGGACGCAGAAAATCTTGCCTGCAACACTTCCACACTCGTACAACCTAAAATGAAAGACAAGACTGTGTTAAGCAAATCGCACAAACTTCGCGCTAAAATAAGAACTTATAAGACAAGACAAATAACAGAGAGATAACAGCCGGCCACTGAATGTGAAATTCAAAGTGTTCAAGAAAATCTAGAAGCTTCTCTTCAGCTTTACCTTCCATGTTTTTATTATTTTGAACATGATAATATTAAACCAATTTAGTATTGACAGTATTTAGCAATAAGTCCTTGAGCACAAATGGACTATTGACTCATAGGCCATGAGGGTGAGAGGACTAATTGCTTTAGTTAAATCCAACTAGTCGGTCAGATATTTAGAAGCAAACTAGTCTTGAATTAAAGTTTAATTAAATTGTTTTGCTTTCAAAGCCGGCACTTTTCGCTTCTACCTAGTATAGGCTGTAATATAGCCTACTAGTATGCTCATCCAATCAGAATGCAGGATTGATGATAGACCACTTGTTGGATTTGACTAATTGTATTTATTCACTTCAAGCAAACATATAAGGCAGTTTTCAGAGCGACAGCACAAGTGTCTTACCAATGTCATTAAAGACCATCCCGCAGGCTTTGAACTATCAAGCGATGGCAGCCTTTGTCGTCGTACCTCCTGTCATGGCTGCCATCATGTGATGATGCAAAGCCCCTATTGTGCCAGTATCAATCAAAGTTATAAAGAACACCAGCGTATCATTTGCAATCATACCCGATTTGTTCAGGACATAAACATGACATGGATGTGGATATATATTTAACTAAACCAAACCAATCCTCACCTTTGAAGTCTAACGTTAAAGGGCACACTTGGTAACTTGGATACTGTATCATACACCTGGAAATATTAGCATATGGACTGTATCAGATGAACGAACGACAGACAAACAGTCAAAGGAACGACTAAACTAAACAAGGCAGGTAAACAAACGAGGAGCAAATAAACAAGCAAATAAACAACTAACAAGCAAACAAACAAACAGACAACAAACAAACAATCAAGCAAATACACAAAAAGCGAGCAAATAAACAAACAAGCAAACAAGCAAATGAGCAAACAAACAAACAAACAAATAAACGAATTAACAAACAACAAACAAAAAGAAGTCTGTAATAATTACTGTTTCAGTTCTTTTGCAGACGTTCATCCAAGTGTACATAGATTTGATTCTTTCATGCAAGACCTCTGCATTCAGCACTTTTCCTGTCCTAACAGCTAAGATAGCGTCGTCTAATGCTTCTTCTAGTGCTAATAAAATGCAACAAAGACTAGTTAATGTTAGTGAGCAACAAAAAGGAGTCTTGTTAAAAGTTTTTGAGTTTCTGTTCCACTGACCTTTAACACTAGGTTGTGCAAGTCTAATCATATCAGATGGCAAGACTTCTGGAACACCACCAACTTGTGTACTTACAACTAGAAGGCTAGTAGTAGAATATGATCAAAAACATCAAAACAAATTCTGTTAAGGCCAGGATCACATGACGAAACAAAACTAGAATAGAAATTTACATGTCTCTTCATGTGAACGCAGCCTCGACAAGTTGCTGACAGCAATGGCGTCATGACTTTTTTTCTACCACTGCCAATAATTTTGGGCTTTCTTGATTCAAAGTATTGTAGTTACGCATCAATAACACTGCGTGCCAAAACCTTTGAGGCATTCTGATACTTAATACACTTCTTTTAGTTAAAGCTTACTGTCTGTCGAGCGATCCCTGATTAATGCGACTGAACAAAAGCAAGGGAAGATATACTATTACTCTTATCAAGATGAAAAACCAAGATAAGATAGACTTACCCACAGCAAGCAGCCTCGACGATGGCCATACAAAAGGCCTCTGTCAATGAGGTGTTAAGAAAGATATGTCCCTGCACCAGAACCTGAACAAACAAAATGTTTGGATGGCAAAACAAAGCATTACGTTCTAGTTAAGCTATATTGAAGAAATAGAAAACGCGCGCGCGTGCTGTGTGCTGTCATAAAGCACGCGGGGGTTGGCATAACACGAGAGAAGTGTTAGGAGAAGCACGACGCGTAGCGGAGTGCTTCTGGACACTTCTCGAGTGTTCTGCCAATCCCCAAGTGCTTTATGACTGCACACAGCACAGCAAGCAAGTTTTTTATTTCTTTTATAAAATACAAATTACAATAGTAGATAGGAATGACGCAACGGAAAGTGCGCGCGCGTGCAATGTTCTYTCATAAAGCATGCGCTCCAAACCAATCAGAACGCGACATTCATAACAGTTATTTTATAAAATATTTTATTTACCGACCAGGAGATATCCCAATAGGGAAAAGCTGTGTCCGAGGTCTTGAATATTTTCAAGACCGAGGGCACAGTTTTTTACTATCAGGGCGGTAAATAACTTATCCCCCCTTACTTTTCGACCTGTTTAGCAATCCGTTATCCCACGCGCACATGCGTAGGATGTCAGGATACCGGACCGCGGGGACACCAGGGGAAAACGTTTGCGCATGCGTGCACTTCAGCACGTTTTCTAAGAATTTTGAAGAGTTTGAGTGTAAAAATAAATGTTTGTTTTCTCCAAGTTTACAAAAAAGTTCGAGAGTATACTTTTGTCAGACCAAGATACTGTATTAACAAACACAATATGAAATAATTAGTCTTAAGTTTCAAGCATGGACACTAAGTTTTGACATTTTGTGAAGTCCAATTTATAAGGCACGTTTGAAAGTCAAATTTACTTATGCCTTGACTAATTTGCATACAGATTCAGAGCATGCGCAGACGTTTTTCACTCGTGACGTCCGCGGGCAGATGCTGAGAAAAACAGCCAATCAGCAGAACGCACGATTTTTAGGATACCGGACAGGAAAGAATAACGTTTAACATTACTGGTTACTTGGATTGGAAAGAAATGGGGAAAATGAGTCATTTCAAACATAAAGTTAAATGTTTGTTTGCATTTTTAACATAAACAGGCCACACACTATATTAGAAAATAAGTAACTTTTCCTGCTTCACTTTCATGGATAGTATTAAATCCTACATTTTGACTGGCCGCTACTTCACGCAGTGCGGTTCTGTTGGAGAAAGATACACTGATCTCACTACCAAAGTAACTTACATCTCTAACTTTGTCGTGTTCTAATGTGCCCAGTAACTCGACTCTGTTGTCTAATTGATACTGTTCCCTTGTCTCTTCAAGAAGCACTCTCTTTGGTCCATCTCCACCTACAAAACATGTTGAATACATACATGAAACCATCATTTATTTCACAGCCTCTTTTGCTCCTACGATGATATTTGCCGCGCAAGATCTGTTGTCATATAAATGCGTTGCTGGCGGTCAATGGCCACGTGTCTGTCCCGGCTTGTTAAGGTATTAATCTTTATTTCATTTCATATGTTCGTTTACTTTTTCATTTTCCGCTGATGACTCATGCATAGCGTATCAAGCACGTGGAAATTAAACTGTGGAGGTCAATCAAAAACACGTTTATTCGCTATACATTTGAAAGTGATGCACGCTTTTCATTGACCGTCAAAGCCACTAAAACACACGTTCTGAATTTATTGGTTAAGTTTAGAATCAACGGTGATTTACCTATAATAAAGTTGACATCATTGTACTTGCTGCAGATTAATGGTATTAAACTTGCTAACAAGTCCATCCCTTTTCTGTACACCAGCCGACTCACCACTACTATGATAACTGGAATCATATCAAATCATCACAAATATAATCAAAAGTAATCATTACCCATCAGTCAACACCTCTTTACTTTCGAAAGGCTTTTGGACGGACTAACATCCAACATGGCAGCAAATCAAGCGCTCTACTGACTTACTTTGATTGTTGCTTCTTCTAGAAGGGTCAGGGGTGAATACTGACGCATTAACAGCATTAGGAATGACAGAAACGATGTATGGATTCATGCAGGACTGAGTAGATGCACGCAGCACTGTGTTTTCCTTACTGCAAAAATAAAACAAATGTCATACTGAGCTCTTTCCACGAGATAAATAATTCAAAGATACATGCATATATGAGAGGTGAAGGAAACACTATTTTCTTATTATTCATTTAATCATTCGTTCATTCATTCATAATCAATTTTTTAAATTGTTCACTTCTTATTCTCCAAAATACACATTCAGTTGATGAATACTGAATCTATTGAAAAAATTCAGAAGGTTTTTACCCAAGTTTCCCTTTTTTACTGCTGCAAATCAAAATATGATAACAGAGTAACTTTCAACTACGTAGAAGTAGCAAAAACCAAATCAGTGTTCCGTAAAATAGCTGCAATTGTTGTTGTTGTAATCACTAATAGCAATAAGAGACAAACAGGTACAAGCTGTTTTACCTTGTGTGTGAAACACATATTACATGATCAATGTCAGCCAAGGAAAACTGAAGAAATTTATTGGTTATAATGGAACTTGCATCAGCAAAACCAAAGAGGGAATGGTCAGTAAAAACACACTTTATTCCCATTGTACGAGCATGCAATAGAGCATCATGGCACAGTGTTGAAAAAGCCTGCACGTAAGAGAGGAACAGTTAAATAATTCAACATTTATGTTGATAATGAATAACAAATATCAATAAATCTTTGTTATTTGTTGAGAAAACATTTTTCATGGCAAGGGGAAAAAACCACATATCAAATGCTATATAGGTGCAATTTAAACAGCATATCAACGGCCTGTGGTATACACCACAGTTTCTGAACAGTAAGTGGAAACTGGAAGGATTTACTGCTACACCAATGCAACTAATGATACTAAGATAACTAGCAATGTACCACCCATTGACAAAGTGTTAGCTCATGAATCATGCACTCACATATACTGAATCGAAAAAACGTAGTCAGGTTCGAGAAGGTCATATCATCGAAGCTAAGACTGAAAAGGATTTAGGGTACTCTGAAATGTGTATTATATTTGCATATAGAAATGTAAAAATGCACAGTAGAGCAAAGTCTGTCAACCTAGATTAACAACATGCCAAAGCCATAATGTATAAAATTTGCACAGGAAGGGAAAACTGCAATATGCATCAAATTAGCATAATTGTTTGCCTTCCCATGCTCCCCTTCGGTCTTAGCTTTGATGATATAACCTTTTTTTGAATCTGACAATGTTTTTTTCAATTAGGTGTATATGTACTACAAAAAAATATAACTAACAATGCAAAAGTGGTAGCTAATACAGAAGACAAGCATTTTAACTTACAGAGTGGCCATGAACCAATGTTATACGTTCTCTGATGAAGATGTATCTAAGGATTGGCATGTCTGTGTATAGTGTTGGTAGGACACACTGGTTATGGAATATTCCCATTGGGATGTAATAAACCTGGCATGAAACAGAATAATAAACAAGCATCATGTACTACCAATACCAGAATCCCTCAAGTGCCCACTTTTGATCGTTCAAGTTATGAGTGTCAATGTTGTCTTACTTCTCTTGTGAGCCAACACAAATACAAATTGAATTATTGAATGCAAAACTCATTAATGGCCATCAGCTAAAAAGACACTCTGGAACATAAGATCTAACATAATAAGCATTCATTGTATCTCTATTGTAATGGCATTAACTATAATATTCAAAAGAGACAGATTCATCACTTATACTTCCCATTTCATTCAATATATTGCCCAAATAGATTTTGTACCGTTTGGACAGATATTGTATATATATGTCGAATAGATACCTTAAGATAGTTAGTTAAATATCTAACTCCCTTTCTCCCTCCATAGCCATGGGTTACTATTATGACCTAAATATGCACGGCAAACAAGTAGAAATTAGTAATAAAATAATAATATAAACAAAATATCTTTATTCAATATTTAATGTTTAAGCATTGCAACCATATTTTTAGCTATCCAGCTGTGGTAAGTGTAGACTGACCTTGTGTTTTCGCTGTATTAGACACTGTGCAAGTTGATAAATATGACTCTCAACTCCTCCCATGTTCGGGTAGAAGAAATCTGACACCATACTGAAAACATAAACATATAAAGGACATGACGATTATGAATTATTTGCAACCAATCTAAACTTAGACCATTGGATGGAGTTTAAACTCTTCGTACCATATTCGATGCTTCTCGTCCGCCATCTTGATCTTTGTTGTCTTTTTGTGGTTGCACGCTGACAGTAAAGTATCGTATATCTGCATACCACAGGAAACCCAATAACCTTTCAATTTCCACCAAAATTTCGAAAGTTTATACAGAATGGTAAAAATCTAGAATAGAAACTATTGATTGGTTAGATATATTGAAATATGAAAATATAGCTTCTGTATGAAATATATAGTTTAATTGATTAAAGTAGACAAAAATACGCTGTGTCTACAGTCATATAGGTCAGCGGCATCCTCTAAAACGACGCAGGAATCCACTTCACCAAAGTATTATTTTTTTAAAAGAAAAAGGAAAATTAAGAGACCTAAACGATTTTTATTCCACATGGGAACTAGCACAACAGTCAAGAGTTTATTGTGTGTTTTAAGTGTTCTCATGATCTTTTGTTTGTCTTCATTGTATTTGTTTCTGTTGTCAAGATGGCTTCCCGTTGTCAGACTTCAGGCAGAGAATAGTGATACAAATATCAGTGAAGAGATTAGTGCTCTAGTGAATCAAAGGTGAGATTTTTAATATTATTGGTTATAAGAACATTACTTCATGTTTTTTTTGAGTATGGAGGCTATGCCAAGATGTTTGCTCTCTTATTTCTTTTGGGGGAAACAGTCCATTCATCACCACAGGAAACCCAAACCTACCTAATTTTATATACCTTGTAATTTTTCAATAAAAACTTCTATTGTGCATAAGTAAATCGGTTTTACTAGTCTATTACTGCCTTTGCACTATGTTTTCTTTGGCAAATGAATTATGTAATTAAATACATAGATTGTGGTTTATGTGAAAACATCCAATCATCATATTGTCATGTTCATAAAATCACCAAGTGAGTTGAGTGTTGTATGTTGCAAATATGTGGAAGTAGTGCGTTTGGAGGGGACCTCATGGAAGAGCCCTGTACAGGGAGAGGTGGTTGTAAAATATAAGTTTTTTCATAAGATCATTGTCGGTTGGCTGCTTTAACAATAGAGGGGAAAATTTTGAACTATATAACATCAAACTTCAATGGTTTCCACATGAGATTTTAATAACAGTGTTTATAATATCACACTTCTGAGATACAGGCATTCTTGGCTCGTCACATGCACAAAGGTTTCAATGTCAGGTTTCGTGTATTTAATGCCCAGTGATTCATGTCAGGAAAAAAATTATTTAGTATGTAGCTTCGTACTGTACTCGTACTGTTCCTCTTATCTATGTACGTGACAAGTGAAGCATATTAAAATATGAAACATATTAGGGTCCAAGCCCGGGGGGGGGGGGGGGTACTCCCTTTGTTCAGGTGGTAGGGGTGATCGGCGCTTCTTTTAGGGTTGAAAATGTTCCCTGTGTGGACCTTTTAGGGGTTCCGGCTAAAAAGTCAATTATGTAACATAACTCCATACCTTTTGGGGTCATTTATTATGCGTGTTATCCATGCTATGCCGCTGTTTACTTTACAATGATGCACTAAATATTTCTTTAATATGATCATCGTTATAATCTTATTATACGCTGTCCTGTCATTCGTTAAACCGGCGTTGATAGCCGGGGTTAATAGTAAATTACTGAAATAAAGCTGTACCTTTTAGGGTTTGAAATCAGGTTGGAGCCTTTTTAATTTATGCGTACCTTTTAGGGACCATTTTAAAAATTGACCGCCGATCACCCCTACCACCTGAACAAAGGGAGTACCCCTCCCGGGGATCCTAGCAAAAAGGGAATTAAGTAATTGAGAAGGTGGTCACAAAATGGCAGATGGTGATTAAAAGAGAGTGGTCATTCATTCATTCAAAGAGCTAGATTTAACTGGTATTAATTTATGTTAATACTAATTAGTGTTTTCAGTGGAGAATTCAATTTTCCAAGTTCACTAGAAGAGCTTAAAACCTTAACTGCTGTACTGAAGCAATACAAAAAGGATCACCTGGGTTATGTAGGACTTCTTTTCTGCAGTGCATATCTTTACAAACAAAGTTTTGCTATACCTGGATCTGTCTTCATGGTAAGTTACTAGATAGACCCATAGATATGGTCTGAAATGGTAAAGTGTTTTGTATTGTTGTTGTTGTTGTCCAATCGTCAGTTGTTTTTGTTATGGGTTCAGACCAACACTCAGGGTTTCTAAAAAACTGAGAAGAAAGCGTTCCCTTTGTCATCACAGTACATCTTCAAATGATCAGACCTCTGCATGCCTTGGGTGAACAAGGTGTTGCAAGCTGCCCTTTCAACTTAAGAGGTTCTACAGAGGGCCACAAGTTTAGAACAGAGGAGCATCCTTTAACAAAGTTAATTGATTGATTATATTTCTAGAACCTTCTAGCAGGAGCCTTGTTTGGAGTGTGGATTGCTTTTCCCCTGGCCTGTGTATTAACAGCATGTGGAGCAACTTGCTGCTACTTGCTGTCAAAAATGTTTGGAAAAACCTTGCTTTTGCAGTATTTTCCAGAAAAGATTGCTCTTTTACAAGAAAAGGTTAGAAATATTTGAACACCTTCATATTTTATTGATTTAGTAATGGCTTGCTACTTCAGTTGGTACCAATATGTTTTAGTATAATTTAATTACCCAGATAATTACAGTAAATTGCCGATTAGACGAGAACTTTGGACTATTTTTTGATAATCATGTACAGGTAAATAAAGGATTGTGCATACACTGTTGATGTGTGCCACTTTCAAAGTATGAAATAAATATATATTATTTAAGAAATAAAATTATGTTGTCAATTCTCTTTTAATCATCTGTGTAATGATACTAAAACAATTATTCGCCTTTGGTAAATAATTATAAAATTAATATATGTTACTGCGATTCACGATATATATATGCCAGGAACTCAAACTCACAGCGGCTTGTTGTGAAACTGTTGTTATTCACTGCTGCCAGTCAATGATATACAAGGTACCAACTGAATAATTTTGATCTTTGGCAGCAAAACAAAAAAAAATCGGCATACAGCTTTCATTGTATAGAACTGTCTGAACCCAGGTGAATGAATGTTAATTAGGCTATTGTTATCGTGGCAGTATATGACCAGTCTGACTTAATTCTTCACTTGACTCTGAAGATGACTTCCTTTCAGGTTGTCGAAACATCAGTCACATCAAACAGTCCTTCTCAGGACTACATCCACCCGGATGATCATGATACTTTGATTAACATACAGCTTTTAACTACTGAGTTAAATTAGCCTGGCACCTTTTAACTAATTGATAATTAATCTAATGCCATTGTGTATGTCTGATGGCTAATTTACCTTCTCTTAATAACTGTGTGATAGATGGAAAAGATTAAAAAACCGCTTTTTTCTATATACAGCTATTTTTTTTAAAAAAGGTAGGTGAAGGTTTTTGTTGCATGTGAAATGTTGCAGTGATATGAATTTTCCTAAACCTTATCTGCATGATTTATAAGCATTTTTGTCAGTGCTGATATTATCTCCATATGAATATGATACATTTCAAGAAACATGCAAAATGCAACATGCAACATGCAACACACCTTCACCAACCTTTATTGAAATAGCTGTGTATTTTTAAATATTTACTCCTTGTCTTCTGTTTTTCTGTCACATATATTATGACTGTATTTTACATTTTTCAGGTACATCAAAACTCAGATGGATTGTTTTTCTTTCTTCTTTTCCTGCGCTTATTTCCAATGTCTCCCAATTGGTTTCTGAACATGGCTTCTCCAATATTAGACATTCCACTGGTACAATTCTTTTTTTCTGTTTTATTAGGTAAGTAATTCTTAGGCTTAAGAACTTTAAATCATCATATCTAAAACAGTGAAGGTGGAGTATAAGCTTAAGCAATCAATATAAAATAGCCGACGACTTCGTGACCCATGCCCGTGATTTTATTGAATAATATTGTTGGGGTGATTGTTGACCATTGCGCGCTCTGTTCTTAATACCATTCAACAAT